CCAATTTACTATTGTTCTTCCAGAATAAGAGACCGTACTAGATATTAAGTCTTCTTCAAATTGTATATCAACAGGAGTCGGTCTTGAATGATACATTCTAGTATGAGAGGTTGGTCTAAACTTTTTTCCATAATTTATTCTATTGACATCAAGGTTTTCTTTTTTGAAGACTTCTTCCATTTCTTGTAGCTCATCATTTGTTGAGCTTTCTTCTTGTAATACCATAGCCTTTGATTCAACCATTATTCATTTTCCCTTGATATACAGTTTGGCTAGTTTCTTTACAAATTCCTCTATTTGATCCTTTTTTTCTTCCTTCTTCTTAATTCCTTCCAAACTAAATCGTCCTGTATTAATTTCTGGAGGAGGTTTGAACAGAACCACTTTCGTGCCTTTTTTCTCTATTGTTTCGGTTTCGATATTTTGAGTTTTACTTGCACTATTTTTAATTCTGGTAGTTTGCTTTCCAATTGTTTGCAGACACAAATTGGTATAGTTGTTTTGTTCAATTATATGAGGTATGACATCTATCTTATGACTATGATGTTCATTTTCTTTAGGGATTATTTTACATAGAGAGGCCTTGGTTTCAAGTTTCTCTTTTAGAGTTCCTTTTAATTGAAAGCTCCTATCAAGAGGATGTATACTATGGACTTCTTCTCCTTCAGTTGTATAATATATTTGGTATTGTTCTTCAATGGCATTAAGACCAAAGTTAGGGATTAAGATTTCCTTTTCTCTTAATATTGGTCTAAGTCAATCAAAAAATCCTATATTCGGTTTATTCTTTTTTATGAATTTATTAAATTTTTTATGAAAAGCATCCAGCAACTCTTTGGGAAATTTTGCTAAATACCAACGGATTGCTCTAATTTTCTCAGAAAGATAATCATCCTTTATTTCTTCGAGGTCTAGTTTCTCTTCTTTTCGAAGTGTTAGAATATCAAAATCTAGGTCTGACGGTGTTGGTTCACTATTAGATGAACTAGGGTCATACATTTTATAAACAGGTCTATGGATATTATTGTTTGTTCGGGTCAGTCCTTCAATTATAGGTCGCTGGGATATTGATGAGGTAGAGTGCCTAGAAGGTGTAGGTATTCTGATTGGGGTTCTTATAGAATTTTCTGAAAAGGGGCAACCGGGTTTTTCTATCAGCATTAAATTGAATATCAATATCTCCATCCGGATAGTCTATAATTTGATCCGGTTAGGGTCCTATATTGTTGGTTCTCGTTATGTGTAGACCAATTTTCAGGAAGAGTGATTTGGGACTAACAAATAGATTTAGGAATTACTGTATTGGACTTTTCTATATTGGTTTGAAAGAATATTGTTTCTTCTTTTTTGTCCATCTGGAGTACATTTGGACTTAAGGTGTTCATAACCTTATAACATATCCTGTATATTAGGGCAATATTTTGAGATCCAGGGTTCATGTCAAACCCTCGGGTCTTTAAATTCAAGATGAGAACCTTAAGAAGGTTTGGATCAGTTAAAGATACTGAGAAATTCGGAAAACAATTAAAATATGTAGGTCCGTTGCATAGACTAGACTCAACTACTCCTAACAAAGAATCAGAGAACTTGTTATGACGACTATCTCTTAAGCATAGTAGTATATAATTATTTAATCCTAATCGGTTAAGGGGCTTTATTGCTACTTGAATAAGTCCTATATGAAGATACATATTCTTTGGATCTATGATTTTGAATCATTCGGTAAGATAATAGTTGGAAGCTTTCTTGTTCACTATTGACCGATATAATTTGTTCAACAATCTTTATAGCATAACTAGTCCTAAACTCAAAGGTTCTTTTTTTATAACTATCAGTAATGGGAACTCTTGGGATGTTCCAGTTCTGAATTTGTTTTTCGATATTATCGATTATTATTTCCTTTTTATTTTTTATCCGTAGTGTTCTTCTTGATGATGACGTTGTTCTGTTCGACAATGTCCTAATAAAATTTTCCATTGTAAGATAACGGATGAGTACTTAAGTCATCGGAAACAGTCCCTGTGCCTTTTTCACGGCTCTTCTGGCCTTTTTTGGCAGTACAGGTCACGACGACTTTTGGTCTCAACTCTCGGACTTATCTTAAATGACAAATTTTATTAAGCTATTGGCCTCTAGAACGGTACTATCATCTTACAGTTCAACACTGTAAAATTACTGTGGCTCTGATACCAGAGAGACCCAAGATCTATTTTTCAGGTAATTATTAATTTTAGGCAGAACCTAGTATATGAATTTAATAAAAGGGATAAAGAACCTAATACATAAACTTAATAATCAGACACAGTAATACACCCAATAATAACAGCGGAGAGAAGTCTATTACGAACCAGTTATTATATGTAACAGTTCTAACTTTTACACAAAATATAACTTTGAATTGCATGGAATAAGG